GAGCCGAAGAGCTGAGGGACAGTGCCTAGACCTAGAGTTCAACCCTGTTTATAAACGGTTTTTCTATAAGTCTCAGCATTTTTTAAGTCAATAAATGAACAGTGCATAGATCTTAGCTAAATGATCATTTTAAAGTTTTTTTCTTCTCCTCCTCCTCGTTCTTTGAAGCACTATGTTCTTGGGACTGATAATAAAACAGAAAATGTTCTGACAAAGTGAGCTCTCCAAACTGTAACGAGAGCATAAGAACAATGAATGCTACTTCACAAGTTGATGGAGAGCTTGCTATTGCTTTAAAGGAGAGGGAAGTGATTATTCTTTGGATTATGGTAGTGGTTCAGAGACAAGAACTGAACTATTAGTTGCCCACAAAATATTGCAAAGACATGGATATATCCCATATAACTTTATTATCTTCTTTTACCTTTAAGGTATTTCTTTCTGGCTTTTTCCACAAACATGTGATTGACATGTTTTTCCTACTTAACATTACAAGCAATTTTTCTAATGTTAAATTGTTAATGATAGTGATTTTAATACTTGTATAATAATAATACATGGAGTATAAGTTTGTCCAAATTGATCCATCAAAGAGATGTTTGCTCTGCAAAAGAAAGTTATACAATTTTTATAAGTAATTCTTCAATTAAAAATTTCAAACTTACAGAAATTTCAAGAATAAGATCTAAAACTCTTGCCTAATAATTCTCCAGATCCATGAAGTATTAAGCTTGTGCTCTTCTCTTTCTCCATACCACCTTCTTTCTTTCTCTATATACATTTTTTTCTGACCATTTGAGTATACATTATAGCCATTTATTTCAGATCATCCTAGATTAGGCTATTGGGAACCCCTTTAGGTTGACTTGGAGGCCTTGTTGATATTTTCTTAATTTTTTTGGGTGTGTTCTTAAATGCTGCCTAGAAACAGTACTCATAAGCTGCCTTGGACCTACCTCAATCCAACTCAGCCATCTCTTTAAGGACTCCTGCTTCCTTTTAGGAAATGATATTATGACCAACATACACACACACATTTATATGCATTTTATATGCATGTTTAGACTTCCTTTTTCCTTCCACACTTTTAATAATTAATACCAATTGGATGTACCAAGGGCATTTCATTTTGACCTGTCCATATTTACATACAATGCACTTTGATCAGATTTATCTCCTCTCTCTTCCTTATCCTTCTACCCTCCTTCCCAAACCAAAGTAGTCCTGAGTTTGAATTCTCAGGCTTACTAGGCAGACCATGTTTCCAGTCTATGTGATGATAGTTTCATATGCATGCATATATATATATATATATATATATGTATATATATATATATATATATATATATATATATATATATATTAGCAATCTTGAAACCATGTCAATATCCCCAGTTTAGTCCACCCAGAGGGGTTCATCTTGCCATCTATCTTTATAATCGAACAGCCTTTCTTCCCCAATGAGAATGCTGGCTCTCCATAATATCAAGACATTCACTCATTTGCTCTATCCTATGATTCTTCTAAAATAAGTTCAGAATTGCTTTGCACATAGTTCTACACTAACAAGTGTACCATAAAGAATTTAAACTAGCTTATTTTTGCTGTTCTTCTCTGACTGTGAACAATATTGAGAAATACTTATTTGTCCAATATAATATTTCTAAATTACTTGATTTAGTTGGCTTTTTTCCTTTTCAGAATGGTTATGTTATTTTTAAATACTGTTGAGATCACTCATTTAATTTGGTTTCACTTTATTTTGATCACAGAGAAAATATTTGCAGGAGTTAATGTTATCCCACAAAGGGACACTCAGAGAAGTGTGACTCCATACTATATTCCTTCTGCCCTTGGAACTCAATTGTTTTCTATTTAAACTTCTGAAATTCATTATTACCATTTCCTCTTTCATATCAAAGGTAGCCTGATAAATATGATCTTTCAAAAAAATTTAAATACGATCTTTTGCATTTCACTTTTTTCACTTCAGAATATATAAATCCATTGAAATCAACCTTTTTTCTTTAATAACAATTGCAATGTGCTCCATCCATGAGTATTTATGAAAGTTCAACCAATCACCAGTATTTGGTCATTTAGATAGCTTCTAATATTTTGCAAGTAATATTGCAATGAATTTCCTTGTGCATATACACACCACATTTTTTGACAAAACATTGTTATTTATTTATTTAGTTAGTTGTATCTTTGGAGTAAATGTAGGCTGAAGTAAAAGCAAAGTAGGTTTGATGGCTATGTTGCAAGCTCCTATCCATAGGGGTTAAACATGTAAAAGCATTCATTCTCACTAGCAATAAGTAGCTTAATCATAACATTCCTCCACATCTCAGCCAACACAGTATAATCACAAACTTTTGACTTTTTGCTAAATGGATGGGTAAGAAGTGGTTTCTTACTGCCATTTTGATCCACCTTTCTCACCTTATAAGTAAAATCGAGTGCCTTTATCTGGTGAGGGTTCAGTTTTATAACTTCTTATACAGAATTATCTGTGGACATCTTTTGCTCACTTTTTCATCAGATTAAAAAAATAAGTTGCTTATTTGGAAGAAATAACTTTTGGTATAATTTACATTCATTGAAGGCAGACCTCAAGAGTCCCAATTGCGGGTAAGCTATGGATCTGGGCTCCATATATTTGTAACCTGCACACCATTACAGTGAGTGAGAATACAAGCTCTGCTCCCACAATACCTACCTTACAACACCACACCGGCCATTTAAGCAGGTTATTTTACCTGTGGTGCCTCTGTAAAGTCTATCCGTAGGAAAGAACGAATAACGGCACTATGCCTAGGATTGTTACGAGGATTAAATGACTTAATGTATTTATGTAGACTAGTGCCTACAACAGTAAGCATCCACTGAATATTAACTGTTTAGGAACTCTTCTCAAACTTTGATTTCTTGAGAATACTGTTAGTTGGGTTGGGAATGTGGCTAAGTGATACAGTGCTTGCCTAGCATGCATGAAGGCCTGGGTTCAATTCCTCAGTATCACATAAACAGAAAGAAGCCTGAAATGGTGCTGTGACTCAAGTGGTAGAGTACTATTTTTGAGCAAAAGAAGCACAGAAACAGTTCCCAGGCCTTGAGTTCAAGCCCCGTGACAGGCAAAAGAAAAAAAAGAAAGAAAAAAAGAATACTGTTAGTTGTACAAAACAAGAATCTGGAAGTTTAGAAGTATTGAATGGATCAGTGGTAGAATTAGGATTGCAACCTACTTACTGGTTTATTTACTCATTTGTTTGTTCCGCAGGTATTTACTAAAGTTCTGCCATGTTCCAGGCACTGGTCTAGATGCTGGAGAGAGACTGAGATGTCAGAATCAGCTTCATATGGGACTTTCGGGATGTTGAGGGCAGGAGAGATGAGAGAGAAAGTCTAGAATAAAGCTGAGATTTCACCATGATAAGAGATGGAAGAGAGATGGTTAGAGTGGGAAATGGAGTAAAGTTTGATAGCTTGGTTTGAGACTCAGTGATTACCATTGACTGCTTCCATTTATTTTCCCTATACTTTATAGTCAGGAACTGTGTATCTGTCTGGGGCACTATAAAAATAGCCTATGCTATACCAATGTCTGATAATAGAGAAGACACTGGTTACAAAACTAGTTGTGAACTATACAACTTGTTGGTGGGGATGGGAGGGAAAAACTGGGATAAAGTGAGGGAAGGGGTGAGACGTTCAAAAATGTGCACATTACCTAACTTCTGCGGTCGTAACTCGTCTGTAGAGCACCTTTACAACGACAACAATAATAAAAAGAAACCACTGGTCAGCATTGGAGCCTTGGGAATGACCTCAATTCTCCTGGGGCCCCTTGAGAAGCATGGTTAGTGCTACATTAACTGTCGCTTCTAAACAAAAGCTGTCTCTGAAGGCAAACATACTCAGTTTTGCATCTTTTGTGCCCAAAATGATACTTTGTATAAAGTGAGCTGGCCAATGTTAAATAGATGTCAACTGCAACGTTATGAAAGGAGCACTATTATTAAGCGAGTAGCTGATTAGCGTGAGCGGGGAGTTGTCTCCAAGAAACTTCCAAACTCCTTTTCCCTGAAGGCAGGGGACTAAACAATGCCCCAAACAGTTCAACCAAAGCCCCTCTTGGACGACATAAGCTTCATGCCAATGCCTTTCTAGAGGATGAAAGGCCCTGTGAACTTCAGATTTACAAGACCACCTGGACAAGACAGCCATTTGGATACGTGGACACCTTTCTTTACCAGGAAAAGGGACCTTTCAAATGCAGCTCAGGGTGTGGTACAAATGCCAGAGAATGGGGACCACGTTTCACAGATGCCTCTACAGGGCGACATTGATTGTTAATTTTGACTTGAACTTCCTACAGGGTGTCACTGGGTTCAGCACAGAGGACCGGTTACAATTCATTTTCTGATCTCCGTGCTTTCTGCCCCGGCGCAGGACGAGGGTATGATGTCCACGGTTCAGAAGCAGCGATGGGGGTCTCCTAAACAGATCCGGAGCTAGGCAAACATTCCTAGGATGGTGGTGGGAGGGGGACTTTCGGCATTTGTGCACGGAGAGACAAGATCAGGAGGAGAAGCCGGGCACGAGCACAGCTGGCGGGGTGCGGGGGGCGAAGGGAGCGCGGGGGGCGAAGGGGGCGCGGCTGCGGGAGGAGGACGCGGGGTAAACCGAGAGAAGGAAAAAGGTGCGGGGCGAGGGCGCCAGCGGGGAACTGGGCAACTGCGTTAGGAAGGCGGGATTTCGTCCTCCGGAGACGCTTTCTTCATTTATACAAACCAGTCGGGCCGAAAAGGGGTGTGGTACCGAGCCCAGGGAAGTGTGGGGGACCCGGTGAGGGGGAGCCGGCCTGATCCCCTCCCTCGAGGGCGAGGCCCGGGAAACCCTCGCCAGCCCGCCGCCGAGGCGGAGGCGGAGCGCGGGGGGCGTGGCTCGGGGGCGTGGCCCGGCCCCGGTGGGCGGGGCGGGGCGCGCCGGGCAGCGCTAGGACCCGCCGGCCGCGCTGCGGGCTCCCGGGAGGTTGATAAAGCGGCGGCGGCGTTTGACGTCAGTGGGGAGTTAATTTTAAATCGGTACAAGATGGCGGAGGGGGACGAGGCAGCGCGAAAGCAGCAGCCGCACCAGGGGCTGAGGCACCGGCGGCGGACCAGCGACTCGAGCGACGGGGTTAACCACGTCTCGTCCACGACCTCCCTAGGTACGGGCCGGCCGGGCAGCGGCCGCGGGGCCCGGGCGGGGTGGAGGCCGCCGCCGCCGCCGCCGCCGCTCGGGCTGCGGGCTTGCGGGCACTGGCCGCGGGCAGCGGGGTCCAACCCGCGGCGGGCTCGGTTCTCCTCCCGTCGCCGCGTCCTCCCGCCGGGCCTAGCCCCAACCGCGCCCCGGGCTCCACCTGGCGCGGCCCGAGCCGGCGGCTCCGGGGCCGCGGCTCCCGCCGCTGCCGGGCGAACCCGGCCGGGCCCGGCCCCCTGCCCGCTGGCCGCCGCGTGGCCGCCGCCGTGGCCGCCCCGGCCCCAGGGGGGCGGCCGTGAGCCGGGGCCGCGGGCCGGCCGGGACGCGCGGAGGTCGCCGGGGGCGCCGCTCCGTCCCGGCGAGCTCGGGCGCGGCCGGCCACCCGGCGGTCAGTCCGCCGCGTTCGGGGCTTGGCGCGGACGGCGAAGGAGGGGCCGCCGGGGCGGGGTGACGGGCCCCGCCGCCGAGGCGGACGCGGGAAGTGCGGACGCCGCGCTGCCGGGTCGGAGAGCGGGCCCACAAGGCCCTCGGAGGGAGCCGCAGTCCGCAGGCCGGGGCCGTGCCCCGGGCTCGCGCTCCCGAGCTCCGCGGATCCCCGAGCCCCTCCCTCCGCTCCCGTTGCGGGGGGCTGGAGTTGCCAGGGCCTGGGGGTGGGGTGGGGTGTGTGTGGGGGGGGTTCGGAGCCCAGGGTGACGACGAGTCCACTCGGGTCACAGCGAAAGTGCCAGCGGCGTGGAGTCACCTGATGCCCGCGCCCCGGTGTCGCTGCCCGCGAGGCTCCTTACTGTACGCGTGCGGGGCGCCCCGCCACCCCCGGAGGGGGACGCGGTTGCGTTGGCAGCCCGGTGGGGTGTGTGTGTGTGTTTCTCTCACTCACAGCACCCCTATTTTTAGGCGTCTAACATTTGATCTTGTCGTTTCATTAAACGCATGAGATCCTGAGTGGGAATTTCGATGCTACTTAAAGGCGAAGTTTTTGAAAAGCTTATAAATAGTCAAAGCCTACGGGTTAGGTCGGTAGGTGCAGCCAGGGTAAGGGCAGACTAAGTATACTTAAATAGGAGTTTGCGGTGTTAGATTTCTATTTTCCAGTGGACGAAGCTTTTTTTTTTTTTTTCCCCTCTCTCTCTTTTTTTTTCTTCCTGTGGATGAAGACATTGTGATTAAATAGTTACCACAAGGTAACTATGTGGCAGAACAATTTAATTAGAATATACTTCACCATTTATGGTGTCAGAGGCGACAAACAACAACAACAACAACAAACTGGGTTTTTTCCTAAGGGGAAAAAGAATTGGGAATAAAGCTTATGGTATTATTGCCTGCCAGCTCCTGCAATTGACAGACTTGTTTACAGTGGTGGCATTCGATAGGAAAAAAGTCCTAACAGGAGAGGCAATGCTATGCTTAGATCTATGCTCGTTGAATTTCTCAAGTAATTAGTTGCTTTGGAATATGTGTGGACTAATTGAGTTCTTTTAGGTCCTAGGGGAGGGTGTGTATTTGTGTGTTTACCATGTTAGATGTAATTTCAGAAGGATTTTATGTGCATATTAGGAAAAGCATACATTTCGATACAGTGTGGTTATCACTTTTGTGTGGTAGTACATTGAGTGGACATGCTCTTGAGACTGTTGATAAAGAACCCACCGTTTATTAAATGTTCTTGTCTGTTCTTACAGATTTTGCCTCCCCCACTCCTTTGTTTTTAAGTGGTGGTAAATGGAAAAGTTCACTCGATAGCCATTACTATCAAACGACTTCCTAAAACAGGTCTTGCCTTGTTAATTTGTTCTGCTTACAATTTACTGTATTAAAAACCAGATAGAGGTGTAGTAGGATTTGTGTCCAAGGTAAGAACAAGCAGGCTGTGAATGATTCTGGACTCATCTGTTTTTGACTGTAGAAAACTCTTCATCTTCCCCTATACCTACTGGAGAAATAAGTTGAAGAGCTGAGTTGGGATGGGTCAAGCGACATTATAGTTAAGTTTTAGGAAGGGGCTTTGCTTTTCTTAAGAGAAATGCTTACTCTTAAGGCATGTGGCATCTTTACAAAGCAAGTGAGCATTCATTAAGTCTTATAAACTTTCTAGGTTGATGGCATTTTGTAGATATGACTTTGTAGATATTTAGTAAGGAGCTTTTGAAATTTTATGAACTTCTTGGGGAGAAGGAGCTATAGTATAGCAGAGAGATATTTAGTACAGAGAAAATAAACCATGAATGAAAATGAGATTATAGCCTTAAGTAGAATACATGTAGGAGTACATTAGATTTTTTTTTTTTGTACGTGCATGTGGTTCTCTTGTAACTTTAGGATAAAGTTGAATATTCACTATAAAAATAACTTCCTTAAAATTGTTACACTTTTTTTCAAAATTGTACTTTTTCCACATTTGGTAGTAGGCAGCTACTAATTTACTTGGAAGACTGTCAACTAGTTTGATGATACTGAAGTTCAAAATACATTTTTCAAATTGTAACATTTAGTTTGAAAAATGGTTATGGTCATTTGGGATCTGTTTGACACAGGTTTGTGAGCAAAGTTGCTTGGCAGGCTTCCAGAGTTAAAAGCCAGAATTAATAGGGATAGGAGTAGAAATTACCTTTTTTTAGGGGGGGGGGTGCTGGTCTTGGGGCTTGAATGGATGGCCTGGGAGCTCTCTCTTAGCTTTTTCCCCTCAGGGCTGGCACTACCATTTGAGCCACAGCTTCACTTGTTGCTTTTTGTTAGTTAATTGGAGACAAGAATCTCACTCACTTTCTTGACTATATAATGACAATAGGATAGTATTTGGCAATTAATAAAGCATTTTCAACATCTTGTCTTCATTTTATTTCTTAAAGCCTTACTTACTGTAAGGAAATTGTGTCAGAGTATGAAGGTTGTTTCTCTCAGTCACAGAAACTACTGAGGCATTCTAACTATTCTCCCCAGACTTGAAGTAGGTGGTAGCAGCCCTCCTTCATTGGACTTAATCACATATAATTAGAGAAGACTAGATAAGGCTTGGTTGAATAAGTGAAGTTTGAAATCATACTAATGAGGGAAGGTAAAGACAGGAAAGAGAAAGGGGACTGGAACTTGTTATTTTTACTTTTTGGTGTAGGAATGGAATCCAGGGCCTTACAATGCATTGCTAAGTAGGAACTCTACCACTGATCTAAACCCTCATTTGGACTGGGAAATTTTAAAGTAGGAAGAGGAAGAGATAGTATATCCATTTCAAGTTATTGGTAAATATACTTCTGCGTGTTTGATTGTTACAAACATTGTGGATAGAATTTTTTAAAATATGTATACTTAAGTAGCCCCCTTCACTCGGAAAAAAGGCTATACAATAATTGATATTAAGGGCAACTGATAGCTCTAGAAACAATATTTCAGACATGAAACATTTATTTATAATCCTCTATTTGTTAAATGACAATAAATGCATTTTTTTGGGGGGGGTGCTTATCTTGAAGCTTGAACTTGGGGCCTGGTGCTGTCTTTGAGTTTCAGTGCGGAAGACTAGTGTTGTATTACTTGAGCCACAGCTCCTTTTTGGGTGGTTAATTGGAGAGTCTCATAGAGGGGCTGAGAAGATGGCTCAGTGGTAGAGTGCTTGCCTCGCATGCATAAGGCCCTGGGTTTGATTCTCAGCATCACATAAGTAGAAAAAGCTGGAAGTGGAGCTGTGGCTCAAATGGTAGAGCTCTAGCCTTAAGCTGAAGAGCTGAGGGACAACACCCAGGCCTAGAGTTCAGGCCCCATGACCGACAAAAAAACAAAAACAAATAAAAAACAAAAAAAAGAGTCTCATAGACTTTTCTCCCTGGGCTGGCTTAGAACCTTTGTCCTCAGATCTCAGCCTCCCCAAGTAGCTTGGATTACAGGTGTGAGCCACTGACACCTGACTGACATATGCACTTTTGACTGACTTGAATTTTGTCTTCTAGCCAAATATAAGCAGAATCTAGGGGAGGGACTCCCTTTCTAACCTACCAACTTAATAAAAACTATCCAACTTGAATTTCTGTGATGGACACTAGAATTACTAGTAACTCTGACTTTAAATTGATATATAGTTGGAGAATTATGGATATCTAGGATCTTGAGTATATTTCATCCCTTTTTTTGTGAAAAATACTTGATTATAGCTTCAGTGTTTTTTTTAATTATAGAGAGTGAACATAGTGTAATTGAGGAAGAATGATGTTATCATTTGACATTGTAATGTTCATCTTATAAACCAGGTTTTTCCAGTTATTTGTAATAAATACCTATATAGAAAAGTGTAAATATTCCTAATTCATATTCTACACTTTCACAGAGCTCAAAGAGACTGTATTTGTGAATTAAGTTTATTCGGTCAAGTTCAGATGCAGAATTACTATTGGACGAATATTATTAAGTAGGATGGATTTTGTCAGGCTCTGAAGGTTGAGTGGGTCTTGGGAGCAAAGTATAGGATACTCTTGTTTGAAGGTAGCAGCATGTGAGTAACTTTTTTTTTTTTTGGTGGTCCTGGAGCTTGAACTTAGGGGCTGGACACTGTCTAAGCTTTTTTGCTCAAGGCTAGCACTCTACCACTTGCAGCCACAGATCCACTTGAGGTTTGATGGTGGTCTTTTAAGAGTCTCGTGGACTTTCTTACCCCAGCCTTGAACCCTAGTCCTCATATCTTAGCCTCCTGAGTAGCTAGGATTACGAAGCATTGTAAGGAATATCTAGTACACTATTCTTTTATACATGTTTGGGTTAGGATTTTTTTTCTTTTAAAAAGCTTTATTTTCATTTGGTCCAAGGCTTGGGAATGGCTCAGAGGTTGTTAGTTAGGAAGCTACCCAGTGGCTGGAGAGAGAGGCTCATGCAGAAACTCTGATTTCAGCCTGTGCAGAGATGGCCTTCAAAGGCTGCTGGACCCTTGGGTCTTCTAGCTGTGTTTGAAGGTGAGACCTTCGAAGAGATACTTCCCCGGCC